CACAGGTCTCTTTTAGTTCTGAAGTCTGTGGCCAAAAGATTCTAAGTCTTATTGTAGTCTTTATCTTTTTTAGGTAATCTCTACACCCAATGTGGGGCTCAAACTCACAACCCCAATATCAAGAGTCACACGCTCTACCCACCGAGCCAGCGAGGCCCCTTATTGTAGTCTTTAAACTATGCTGGGCAAAAAACAAAAGGATTTACAACTTTTGGCTTAAAGTCTGTGTTCTTAAACTTTGATGGGTTAAAAAACATGACGTTGCCTGGAGGGCTTTAAATAATAACATGAAATCTGTATCTTATGGTTAGAGCATTCAGAAGGAAAAGAGACTGTCCAGAGGCACCTGGGCGGCTCAGTCAGTTAAGCATCTGAATCATCATTTTGGCTTAGGTCATGATCTCATGGTAGGTGGGATCAAGCCCTGCATCAGGCTCTGTGCTGATGGAACAGAGCCTGCTTGGGATTCTCTCTCCCTCTCAACGCCTCCCCTGCACATGCTCTCTCTCAAAGTAAATAAAGATTTGAAAAAAAGAAAGAGGGGAGCCTGGTGGTTCAGTCAGTTAAGCATCCGACTCCTGATTTCGGCTCAGGACATGATCTCTCACGGTTCTTGAGATTGAGCCTCACATATTTGGATTCTCTCTCCTTCTCTCTCCATTCCTCCCCTGTTAGCACTCTCTCTCTCTCAAAATAAATAAAAACATGATAATAAACTAGGAACTATGTGCCTCTTTACAAAATAATGCAGTATTATCTGGAAACTTTACAGTAGCACCATGCTAAGTCTTCATTTTCCCTGGGTCTTCCTGGAGAAGTATTCCAGGTAAAAAGGTGGCCATTAGTTTACAACACTCTCAAAACTACACAAACTTTTAACCAGAGAAAGTGATATGATAAATGATCTTTTAAGCTGGTGAACCAGAGTTTAAAGCATTTGTATCATATTTTTCACCCACATTGGGTTGACTCTAAGGCCTAACCAGTATGAATGAAGAAATTAACCTGTTTGGGACAGTCTCCAGGGGATAACAAAGGTAGTATTGTATATAAGTAACAGGATATAGTGATACAATGACTCAGGCTTCTATGTCACTCAGACCTAAGATAGAATTCTACCTTTGCCCCATATTAGCTGTTTTTCCTTGGGTGATCTGTTTAACTACCAGTAGCCTTGATTCCCTTGATTATAAAATGAGGATATAGGTCCATAATCCCTTATTTTCAGACTTCAGAAAGATGGTATGTTACATATATAGTATCTAGTAACTCCAGCAAGATCTGAAGTAGCACCCTATAAGACTAAAACTAACAGTGTTGCAGTGAAACATATGAATAGTCAAAGTAAGAGAGACTCTCAAATGGACAGCTTCCTCTCAGCTCTGGGTTTGTCACCACATCAAGTATGAGAATGTTTTTGATCTGTGGAGCTTTCTCAACTTTAGGCAAAAGAATATTATCTCATTTGACTATCAATATCATTAAAGAAAATAAAAATGCATAAAGAATATTCATCTTTACAAGTGTATTCACAGTGGCACCTGGGTGGCTCAGTCAGTTAAACATCCAACTCTTGATTTGGCTCAGGTCATGATCTCACAGTTTTGAGACTGAGCCCCGAGTCTGGCTCTGCACTGGGCATGGAGCCTTCTTAAGAATCTCTCTCTCCCTCTGCAACTCCCCTGCTCACTCTCTCTTTTAAAAAAAAAGAAAAGAAAAATCTAATCACAAAGTACAGACTTTAAGTCGTCATGGCATAGCCAGAGACCATCATTTTTTCAAAAGGAAAGGCAGGGCATGACTTAAAGTCACAAGTACTCCCCTGGGTATGAAATCCTACCAAGGATGCTGGATAGACCAAACACCCTGTGACAGTGAACATGTTGACATGTAGACAAGGAATATAGGACGATGTTACACAGAAAGGCATACTTTCATTTTTTGTATCATAGAGGTGACCTTCTCATTATCTTTCTTTCTAGGACTTAGTGTTTCTAGTTTCCTGTCTTCTCAGCCATCTTTTATCACTCCTTTTACCCCCTGTAGTTCTCCCACCTCAGGTGGTAAGTGAGGGCTGGGGGTAGGCATGGCGGAGGGCAAGACCATTTAGAGCCCCTGACTCTGTGTGATATGATGGGTTGCAGGAGGTCTGAGGCTGCTAGTCTAAACGGGCAGATTCTCCAGGAGTGAACTTCCCTACCTCAGATTTAGATTAATAAGAGTTAAGAGTAAAGAATATGGATTAATTTTTTTATATATAGAATTCCTTAAAGATTGAGATCAGAATCAAGACATGATTATACAACAGGACTGGCCTCCTTAAATAATCAGGAGCAGAGAACTGCATTACATGGCATCCTGCAACCCTGTCCTTTACCAGAGCCACTTACGGGGTGTTGGAGGTAAATAGCACATCATCACTGGCTGTTCTAATGTGTTTAACAAGGCAGTTCTCAGAAAACTCTATAATGTTAACATAATGGCTTGAGTATTGAGAAGAGGTAACTCTCACTTAGTTTTAAAACATGTAACTGCTAGTGACAAATCAGGTTACAATTATTAGATATGGGTCAAGGATTAAGTAATGACTAACAAAAAGTCTTAAAACTAAGGCTATATATTTGATAAATAACCTAAGCTATTATACCTTTTTATTTCTGAGGTAGGCTTTCTTGGCTGAAACTCGTCCACGCCTTGCTTCCAGCTGGCGTGCTTTCTGCTGAAGTTTCTGTAGCTCTTCTCTCTGTAAGTGCACAGACACTGCCATCTCTTCCTTCTCCAGCATGGCCTCCATGCTTTCGTAAGTGTCGTAATATACTACCTCATCTCTCTTTTCTGTAACAAAACAGCAACAAGGGGTAGTGGTTAAGAGCAGGAGCTCATGGAGCCAGAAAGAACAGAGTTCCAAGCTACTTATTAACTCTGTAACCTCAGGCAAAGCCGTTACCTCTTGAGCTTCTTTGTAAAATAGCAATTGTTAGGAAATATACCTGCTAGGGTGAGTGTGTATACAAAACGCTCAGCAGTGTGTGGCACAGTTAAATGCTCGATAAATGTTAAGTATCATCATCCCTCAAATTCAAAATTTTTCTGGCTGAAACAACCTTACAAAGTGAGTATTTTACAAAGGTAATAGCATAGTTGCATTGCTGAGTCTACTAAATAACTTGAGTTTCAGAGCTCCTTTAAAAGGTTTTACGTTGGAGCGCCTGGATGGCTCAGTCGGTTCAGTGTCTGACTTCAGCTCAGGTCATGATCGCACAGCTCTTGAGTTCCAGCCCTGCATCAGGCTCTGTGCAGACAGCTCACAGCCTGGAGCCTGATTCAGATTCTGTGTCTCCCGCTCTCTCTGCCTTACCCCCCCCCCCGGCCCCTCCCTCTTCTCCCTCTCCCAAAAATAAACATTAAAAAAATTAAAAAATAAATTAAAAAATAAAAGGCTTTATGTTAAGACATTCTTAGTCTCAACAGAAGAACCAGCTGACGACTATGTGTATTTCCCATATGTATTAATTTTTTTCCTGGATTTATGTGGTTGAATGCACACCATACCTGATATAAGTCTTTTGATGCTTTCCAGTTGTGCGGTCAATAGTAACTCTTCACACTTCAGGATTTCAAACTGTACTTCATACAACTGAAGTTGTAGGTCATAATAATCAGCTTCTAACTGATCCAGCCGGGCTATGGCCTCTGTACCACCCTGCAAACTCTGCATCTGCATTGAAAATAAAAATAAGAACATTTCTAATTGGATGGGACAAGGAAAACAAATCAGGTTGGGATTAGAAATGAAAACTAATCATACAGCATAAATCCATGAAGCAACTGTGCCAAGAAAGAACCTTATAAACAAGAAGTAAAGATTTTTTTTAAAAGACAGAAAAACAGCAATAATCCAAACATATAGTTTTGGAAATAACTAGACATACATGGTAAAAATAACGTTTTTAAGTTTACTCATATCACAGGTCATATTTAGGATACTATATTATTCTAATTATTCTGACATAAATATTAATAGTGTTCTTTCCTCTCAAAAGTGGATGTACTAACCTATGCAGTTATTCCTTCCATATATGAATGAAATTATGTATGAATGAGTAAGATATGTAAATAAGATTCATCCATACTCAGATAGTTATAACCAGGGGGTAGAAGTCTGGTCACCCTACACATCCAGAGCTGTGAGCTGTGTTTTGCTCCATGGTCACAGCTTCATTAGCTTCTAGGAGCTGGTCACTGGGGGAGCAAGGTGAATAGCAGGGCAGAAATGACTGTAGGAAAACCCCTGCAATCTACTAACAATGATAACTATTAGTATCTTTACATAAATGCAGTTAGGATCCTACATCCAACCTAAGGTGAGACTGAACGGTTTCTAGACAGGTCTCATGAAGTGGTGGGTGTTCTCGTATGAAGTTTGCTTGGTTGGTCGGTTGATTAGTTTTTGGTCCAGAAAGGAGAGGGAGAAGAGATTTTGCCAAGCAACCGAAGGAAATTACTATGAACAAAGTATGCTTCAGATACTAGTCCCCAGCCCCACTATTTCCATGGATTCCTACTTGGATCTGTGAAGAAAGATGGCTCTATGGAGGAGCTGACAGGATGGCTTTTCAGGAGTCATTGAAGGACAGGCATGTGAGAGAGTAAAGCATTCCTCTCAAAACATCTAAGAATATAGTACTACCACTTTAGCATATTAAATGTTCATGCTTAGAGGGGCGCCTGGGTGGCGCAGTCGGTTAAGCGTCCGACTTCAGCCAGGTCACGATCTCGCGGTCCGTGAGTTCGAGCCCCGCGTCGGGCTCTGGGCTGATGGCTCAGAGCCTGGAGCCTGTTTCCGATTCTGTGTCTCCCTCTCTCTCTGCCCCTCCCCCGTTCATGCTCTGTCTCTCTCTGTCCCAAAAATAAATAAACGTTGAAAAAAATATTAAAAAAAAAATAAATAAATAAATAAATAAATGTTCATGCTTAGAAACTGCAGGACACGGTCACAGGTATCAGTGTGCCCTGGAAGAACAAGCAACACTTGTGAGGAGGCCCTGGCCTCAAGTGGCATCCCAGGGGATGACTACCAAACGGGGTGGAGG